TTTTTATGTTAGTGTGTATGCACTGCCATGTATGATTTCAGTCATAAGAGGTTATACACATATACCATTCTTTGATATGGAGGTATAGTGAATTTAGAAGATACACCACAAATATCAACAAGCGTGGAGTAAATGTTATGTTATAGATAATGTTAAATCTATGTTATAGATGAAAATAAATGGGTCAGTCAAATAACTGTCGTTTTGTATCGTCTATTTATATCTTATTATTGTAATGTGTTCTTAACATCTATCTCTGTTATCTCCACAGCTTGTCAAGATGTTTGCGCTGATAGTGTTGATATTTGCTTTGTGTTATTTACCCATCCACACTTTCAACTTACTGTTGGACTACCAGCCTGATATTGGACATTTCCACTACTTAAAAGTGGTTTATTTTGCAGTACATTGGACGGCAATGAGTAACTGTGTCTACAATCCTTTCGTATATTGCTGGATGAATGCCAAGTTCAGAAACGGATTTAAATACGTATTTCGTTTCTTACCGTGTGTTCGCTACTATACACCAAAAGTGAAGAAACCTTTGAAAAGAATTAACACTTACTCCACACAGATGGGAAGTGTTAATGTGACAATACGCAAAGAGATCTGTTTAGCTACATATAATAAAGGTGGTGCTCAATAATGACGCTTTGCTACCTTGCCTGCGACATGTGAAATACAGCGATGCAAGCAACGAACAGTAAATTTGGGAAATTATCAACTTGTTCCTCGCAATCTTATTTCAAACACGGGATCTGATTTTTAAATTCGAATTCACCACTCTGATTGTCGTTCATACAATGGCCACCGAACATACAATGTTGGACAACAAACAATTTGTGGACATGTGATCATTCCATCATTCGCAGTTAGGTATTGTTCTGGATTTAGTTTATTGAAGATGACAATTATGTTTATATGATTGGTGAAAGTACTCCCCGTTAAAAATATATGGAATTTATGAACTATTATTTTCGCTTAGACGAGTTTCTAGGTATACGGTCTATGAAGTGTGTCTGCACCCTTACGCTTAGATCTGCTGTGGATTATCGATTAAGATATACATATTGAACGGATCATTTAAATTTCACGTGTTGTAAGCAAAAAAGTTCAATAAAACCCTATACTATTTTTGGAAATGTGTACATTTCTGAGGAGGTTTTTTCAGCCAATATATCGTATTTTTTTTATTTCGTCATAGTATGCGCCGATCATTACTACTCATTGTAATGTTACACAGTTGTGAATGCATATTTTGTTCACAACATTGCGATGCGTTGCAGAAACAGAAACTTGATTGAACTTAAAACTGGATAATGGGAACAGAATGCGACTACAATATGTTATAATGTAGTAGTTAAACAGTATTAAGGTGTTTGAAATCAACATAGATTCAATTTTAACGGTACGTATTTGGATTGAATGCTTATTCGAAATTGGATATTTGTAATATAAGAACTCGTGATTTTTACTATTTTCAGTTTTGTTTGTTGATGTATTTTCAAAGCTGTTTGACGTATATGAAAAGAGAACAATAGATTGAATATGTGCCTCTTATTGTATAATTACGTGTATCGTCTGTCAGACTCGCATAAATGAATAAAGGTTTATTATCAAAATCCAAACCCATTTACAAAAACATCCATTTAAGAACACGTCTTCACAATTATTGTTCATAAGCCACATACGATTTTCAGAGCCTGGAGAAGTCGCTGATGATTTTCGTTGAACATGACGAAGCCTAGTAGGGAAAACATATTCCTCTCATATACCAATTTATTTATTTATTTATTTATTTATTTATTCATTTATTTATTTATTTATTTATTTATTTATTTATTTATTTATTTATTTATTTATTTATTTATTTATTTATTTATTTATTTATTTATTTATTTACCCGAGGAACATCGAGCGCGCTCCTAATCAGTGTCTAACAAATAAAAACTCGGTGCATTGAATAAAATTGACATGAATGACCTTCCTACTTAAATTATGAAGGGTTCTTTAACAACATGAACTTGCGCTGTGAGTGGGTTAGACGCACAGTGATATCACCATCATTATATAAATCCCTAACGGCGTCATACTGAATTATGAGACGGGTCTTTGCAAGATGATATGTGAGACGAGGCTTTTAGACCTTTGTCAATGTGACGCTTTTGGAATATATTATTGTTGTTGTATGTAACCACCATCAGAATTAAACAAATTTAGTTCAATTTGAAGACTTTTTTGTTGAATTTACTGCAAATCCTTCAATTTTAACTGGCATTTAATTTAATTATATTAAGCAATTTCGCTGGGTTTTAAATTCACGGACTAGGCAGGGAGTCAATGAGTTGTCTTAATATCATATATGTTCACGTCAATTTAATTTAGATAATGTTATTAAACGACAAAAATAGTAAAAATTAAATACCCGAAAATAATTAATGAGTTTACTGTATTTGCGAATAGTAGTTTACATTGTTGTGTAAATTTAAAGCTATGATATAAATTATCATAGTGGTGAATACGATCTGTCTCATTACGCTGTCATTCCCCAAAATATTTCTAATATCAAACGTGTCCACAGCACTGCAGGAAACCTTTAGTCTTCAAGTGTGTCTTTTCATTCAATGACAGCATTTATTAGAACTATACACGTAAAACCATCGAAACTATGGAAACAATAAAATACACATATGATCAATATTTCAAAAATAAATATCTAATATACTACTACTATTCACGCTTTATAATAATTCTAACAAGCTTACGCTTTCACATGATCGGATCGATATCTGAACATTATATTATAATATTTCTAATCATGTTTTAGACTACATTTTAATTTCATATCAATTAGATCACAATAACACATACATTCACGTGGTTTATCGAAGGAAAAGATGTAATCGTCACGTAATTTCCGTTAAGTAATAATAATGTCAATCAGTTTAATAGTCACGAATTTGATTCTATCATTGCTAAATAGAATTGATCCACAAAGACTACGTATTGTGAGGCAATGACAAATCAAGAAAAAAACGGAAGGAAACGACCAAAAAACTGAAAATCAGTCGCTATGACAACACCTTAACACCGTGAAACTGCATGCAATTACGTAATTTTCCTGCTGTTGCTGTGGATGGCAATACTAAGCAGATGACATGTACATGACTGAAATGCACACAATATAAGGACAATTTACCTCTGTGATTGCCATCTGTCGCGCACAATTCCGTATCCGTGCAGATGGCTTGAGTCGTGGTAAATATGACAAATAAAGCTTGAAGTAGTACGCCTCCTGGCCAGGATTAACAGTAGATCAGCAAAGACATATACATTTTACTTTAATGGATCAATAGAGTAACGCATGCCAATAACTAACTGTATGCAATGAAATATCATACAAAGGAAATTCAATTACAACATTTGGGTAGAAGTATCTTCACCAACAATTATCGTTCTTAAACGAACATTAGGTTGTAGAATGACTGCTTATCAATACGCGGAAACTAACCAGGCTAAAAAGTGACAAATGGTGTATTAACAATTAAAACGAAACTAGCCTCTTCTAAATGGTTAATACTAGTATGTGTACTTTATCTCATATATCATGGCAGTTTACAGTGTAATAAAGCAATGTAATTATTGTCTTTATCCGATACACCATGCATATGACAGTCAGTGTAATAAAACAGTGTAGTATGTGTCATTATATCTATACCATGTAATAAACATCTGATTGGTCGATGCATTGACCTTTGACATCATGATCAAGTTGACTATCGCTAAATAAGCTGATATAAGGTAATGGTGCTTTATTGATATTACCAATTATTATATCAATTTAAATATTTCTCATTAGTTTTATATCGAGTAAAACGTCGCATATAAAGCCGCATGACGTCATTTCAAATTCTTCCAACCTTAACCATGGTTTTAATTCTCTCTAAAATTAATAATTATGTTCCCAATGCATCCGTAAATATAGTAAATTATCTCTATTTCCTAATCGCAATAGACTACACTAATCACTACACTCGTTTAAAATATTACACACCTTTATTAAATCTGATATTGTGGAATATTATCTTTATAACCTATATAACACGTAATGAACACCCATGCAAACAGATCGAACTATTGACATATTGGCAGACTGTCACAAAAAAACACTAATATCACAATATGTTGGAGGTGTTAAACAATATGTTTTGCGTTAGTATTACGATTTATATTAAATCCGATTTCAACTGTGACGCCTGTGCTATTAAAAGCCGGTTATATTTGAGACGCCATTTCAATTTCTCCTAACGTCAGTTCCGTTGCGCACAGAAACGGATCGTAAAAAAGTCCCGGTTTGAATATTCTCAAGAAAATAGTACTTACTATACCCATTCATCTCCTAAACTCTTTTTATAATTATTGATCCAAAAAATAACTATGCGCTTCGTTACATTACTATGTTGAAACCTTTGAAAATTTAATTTGTAGCTCAGCAATACCAGCGGTTCGAAACAAATGAAATTGACTACTATTCTGATATTTTTAGCGCATTGAGGAAATTGAGGATGTAATCTATATAACAATATAAATAATATACAAACACGTTTATAACGTTGTTCATATCCAGAGGCGCGTGATGGTTAGTCAAGATGGCATGTTTGTTACAAAATAACTATTTACATATATTTAAATCAAAGCCTTATTCTGCACGAATTTTGGATACTTGCAGCGTGCAACATGTGTTTGGAGATTCAATACAAACAACTATGTGAAGCTTATCCAAGAAACATCTGCTATAATATTGTCTCAATAAGGATCTATTGTCAAACGGGTGGCGCATATTTATAAATACAGACTCGCGAATAGTATGATTTTTTATATAATTAGAGTACGCCAAACTGATTTTATTTGATTATATGTATTATGTCTAGTCGCTAATTTCTTTCGGTTCAGTCGAACTAAAATACAAGCGATCTCACTATCCAAGTGTTGAACTGGTGTTGATGTAGTTGTGATAAAGCAGGAGGGTCGTCACCTGAGCACGCGCGGGAATTGAGTCCCAAGGGACGATAACAACACGCGCTTAAAAACGAAAAGGCTCATGGGTAGTCGCTTGTTTGTAAACAATGACTCGCTCTGGTCATCTGACGCATGCGCAGGTGACGACTCCCCCGCTTTAATGTGTAAGTGGCATCATGCGATAAAAACATATCTATTAGCGTACATACATCAACATTTGTGGCTTGCAACAAAGCATCACCAAGTCCTAAAGTGGCGACCATTTTGACATTCGATTCTTGTATGTCATGTTTGTTACCAAAGGTTGTCCGGTTCATACTTATATTCACATTCAATGAGTATGAGTATGGTGTTATTAGGGGTCGTTAAATATTTTTTCTGTATCTGTCAATTTAATTAATAAATTTCAACCGACAACTGTTGTGATAGATATTTTTATTTAGTCTCGTGGTATTCCGAACGTGTGTGTTCTCATCGCAGACGTGTGAATCGCTGAATACTGTATAACGGCCGTATACCTCAGATATACTGGTAGTCACCAGTTCAAAATGACGTCACACGAGTGAAGAATGCCGGATATGATGTCGTTATTGGGACAATAACTCAATGATAACGTTCTACTATAAA